GGAATTCATATGGCATGTATAATATTTTAAAATAATGGGTTTATTAATCTAGATTATTTATGAACATTCTTTTATTTTTACATGAATTTTAAAAAAATAGGCCGAGAGAGAACTTTTATTAGGAGTATCCCGTCTTCTTTGGTGTTTTAGAATAGAAAATGCATCACCATTAGATAAGGGTGGTAAGCCAATACCAATTAATTTAGATAAAGCACATTTTGCTATTACTGTTTGGCCCGAGGACTATCATATTAGATTAGTAAAAAGACATGATAATGTCGAAAGGGTTTTATTCGGTGTAATCCAATAGTTAATTTTTGAGATATTTTCTTAAAACTTTAAATAATCGTGTTATTATGATTAGAAATTTTCAAAAACTAATTCTTCTTTGCTCATTATCTTATAAGTTAAATTATCAGTGCATATGCATTGAGTTTAATTATTATTAATTATTTAAATTAAAAACGAATAATGTTAATATTAGACGTGATCGTCATGTTTATTGGCTACGATTTCAACTGGACCTGTCTAATTAAACATGGCTAATTGGACTTTATAAGTCCAATTGGCCTTAATAATATTTTTTTATAATAATATATAATTATCAAATAATCTCAATAAATAAGATTACAGAAAATTAGTATAGCACAGATGACTAGCACCATTCTAATAATATTGATATATTCTAAATTTTAAAATCAAGATATTTTAGCTGTTATTGTAATTTGGTTAAATATCTCAAATTTAATAACCTGATAATTAACCTTTTATAACTCCTGTATAGATTCTCACATGTTTATATAATACAAAAAAAAAAACCAACAAAATATGATTTATTGCTGGTTACTTTTACAGTATCAAGAGTCTCTGCAAAAAATATTATCTATTACAGGATTTGCTATTCTAGTCAGGCATAATATATAGTTAAGGTTGAGTTAATTTGTATTAGAATTATTGTGACTTCTATCATGAGCTAAAGTAAAACTTGCTATTAGAATTATTGTAATTTTATGAATTATTGCAAGAATTTTATTGCAATACCCACTTGCCATTCTAGTAATCAAAATGTAGTAAGTGAATTATCATAATTTTCATATGTTGCTATAAATATTTTTTAATTGCCAATCCGGATAAGATTGATATAAAATTATACACAAGTATATGTAGAATTTAGGATAAGTATAATAGTAATTTTATAATATACTGCAAATCTGCAAAGTTTAGTTTTAAAGATCAAAAAAAATGACAAAACTCACTGTTATGTTAATAGAAAACAAGTTATTAGACAAAAATCTCTATTACAGTGCCTACTCATAATTTTGGTGGTAACTTTCTAGTATTAATAAAAAAAGGAAGTATATTTCCCTATTCGAATTGGTCAAAAGACTAAAATAATTTTAAGAGAATGTGAATTTTTTATGATAGATATTACTAACTGCTCCAAAAGTTCTTTTTTGTCTAGCTATTATTGTGAAAGTGGCTCTTTTTCTAGCATAAACCTGAATCCAACATTAGCAATTTCAACAGTATATAAGGAGATTTTTAATAATTAAATATGTAATTCCAGATTTTTAGTACTTGGATAGACAGATAAATCAATAGTCAAATAGCACTTATTAAATAAATTATTTATTCCTATGTCCTTTTTACTTGACAAATATAAAATTTTTATTTTTGAAGTTGGATCATCTTCAAATTCTGAATGGAATTATGCTAGACTGGGCTATAAGTTGTCATTTTTATGAATTACA